AAAGGAAAAGTGATGACCTCTTCTTTTGAAAACTTTATAAGCCTCTTCTAAAGCCTTTTTAGCCATTTTATTTGCCAAATGAAAGGCACTTGAAAGGGAATTGATGAGAAGCGCCAAAGGAAGAGATAAGGCATCAACAGATTTTACCTCTATTAAACTGATTAAAGATGATAAAGGATTTACAAGGTTAAGAAGGTATTACAAGATTAAGTATTATTAAGTACTATTTAAAGGTATTACAAGATTAAGAAAGGGTCAAGGAAAGATGGAAAGTATGTTTTAGGAATTTATTGAATAAAGACTTTATACAAGAATAGAGAGGCAAATAACTTTATACAAGAATAGAGAGGCAAATAAAGAAGTGGTGCAAGATATTAGCAGAGAAGTGAAAAGTGTGCTTAAGAAAATGAAAATGGGGGAAAAAAAATAGGCACTGATCAGATTCCAATTGAGAATTGGAGAAATTTGGGTAAGAAGAAAATTGATATCCTCTGGGACCTTATGAAGAAACTATGGCAGCAGGAAAAGATCCCAGATGAATGGAAAAAGAGTATTCTTGTGCCAATCTTTAAAGGTAAAGGGGATGTATAGAATTGCGGAAATTACAGAGGTATAAAGATATTGTCCCACACTATGAAGATTTGAGAGAAAATTGTAGAAAGAAGGATTAGGCAGTAATCGGAGTTTGGAGAGGAACAGTTTGGCTTTTTGCTGGGAAGGAGAACAACTGATGCTATCTTTTCTCTCAAACAGCTGATGGAAAGGCACAGGAAAATGAAGGAAGATTTGCACATGGTGTTCATAGATCTAGAAAAGGCATATGATAGGGTACCAAGGCAAGATATATGGAAATGTTTGAGGGAAAAGAATGTTCCAGAAAAATATGTTAGGCTCGTCAAGGAAATGTACAAGGGAGCAGACACCCAAGTTAAGAGTAGTGTGGGAACTACAAAAGGTTTCTTCATTAATGTTGGTTTGCATCAGGGATAGGACCTTAGCCCTTATTTGTTTGACCTGATAATGGACGTGTTGATGTATAACATGAAGTATGAGGCTCCCTGGAGTATGCTGTTTGTGGATGATATTGTGCTGTGCAAACTTTCCCAAACCAAGGCTGATAAGAAACTGGAAGATTCGAGGAAAGTTTTGGAAGAAAGGGGCATGAAAATTAGCAGAACTAAAACAGCTTACATGACTCTGAATGGTAGAGATGAGTGTAATATTAAAATTAAAAATGTGCTGCTCCCTTTTGTTCCGAGTTTTAAATATCTTGGAACATTTGTTGATATGGGAGAAGGATTAAACTTGGAGGTGCAGCATAGAATTCAATGTGGATAGATGAACTGGAGGAAGCTGAGCAGTGTGTTATGCGACAAGAAAGTTAGCTGCAATCTGAAAGGAAAATCGTATAAATCAGTTGTTAGACCTGCAATATTATATAAAGCTCAGACATCAGCAATAACAAGAGTTCAAGAAAGAAAGATGGAGGTGGCGCAGATGAGAATGTTGAGATAAATGCGTGGAGTGTCAAGGAAGGATAGAATAAGGAATGATTTTATTAGAGGTTCTGTTAAGGTGGGCTCCCCTTGAGCAAAAAAATAAACGAATGTAGGTTGAGGTGGTTTGGCCATGTAGAGCAAAGAAGTGACAATTATGTTGGAAAGAAAATCGAAAAAACTAGTAGTAAAAGAAAGGAGAAAAAGAGGAAGACCAAAGATGCATTGAAAAATAAGGTGGAAGAAAACTTGAACCAGACGGGGCTTAAGATAGAAGAGGCCTGATAAGGAAAAATGGAAAAAGCGTATTAGAGAAGGAAATGACGACCCAATATAAAGATGGGAAAAAATGAAGATAAAGAAGAAAAAACAGAAGTTTGTTCTACACCTTCTATTTTCAAATTTTATTTGTTAAAAACCTGAAGCAAACTGTGGGTACAATTCAAAATGTTCATTTTCATTAAAATTTGTGTTACTGGAGTTTAAACATTCTTGATTGTGTGTGATTCATTCCAGTAATTCGGTAGAAAGATTATTTAATATAAAATTATAATTANGAATTAAAAAAAAAACATATGAAAAAATATAATAATAATAATAATAGCTCTCCCATGGTCACCACCTTGTCATGGTGGGAGAGCCCAGTACTTTTACTAAACCATAGAGCAATACAGGCTGGAGCACACGCACCTGGTAGGGACACCCATACTAGTAAGGTCTGTTTTGTTTTGGTTGCTATGCCTTGACTCTGGTCCGGCATAGTATGCAGCCACCGATGTAAACTGAGTATAACCCCTACACCCAACATAATAATAATAATAATAGCTCTCCCATGGTCACCACCTGGTCATGTTGGGAAAGCCTAGTAATTTTACTAATCCATAGGGCAATGCAGGCTAGAGCACAAGCTCCTGGTAGGGATACCCATGCCAGTAAAGTCTATGGGGAGAAATGAGAGTGATAAGAGTGATAAGAGTGATCACACCCATATTCTGTGAAGATATTTATCATAGTAGTAACCAGATCTAAGTATGATACCAGCTTGGACGTCTCCTGGGTTAACAAGGTCCGCGTTCGTGGGTTACGCAGAGGCTCACATTTGAAAAATATAACACAGTCTCCCTTGGTTACTGGTGGCGAAAGCAGTGCCAGCCCAATCTGTTGAGGGCATGGCTACTGCAATGCCCTCAACAGATGTGAGGAATCAACCTAACCTTGGTGTTTCTGTGGCAATGCATCCATAAACCACAAAGGCTGGAAAACCATACCAATGGATGAAATGGACAATAGAAATGAAAGAGTTTATCATCCGTACTTACTATACTATCACAAAACTCAAAACAATCATGACAGCATAGAGAAAATAACTACACCATATGTCGTACTAACCTTGTATAGCTTTGGAGTACTACTTAAAAAACATAACACAAATGTTTTCAACCCACTTCTAAGGTCTTCCTCAGGTGTTTTACAAGCTTTTCTGGTGAGATTCTGATTTTTAATCATTCAGGTCACTAATGCTTCTATCTTCGGAATTTACTTTTTAAAATTTCAAAATTCGAATCCCCAAAACATGTGCACCTGCACCAGTTGTTATAGCATTGCATCATAAATAGCCTGCCATGCTCTTGATAGTTGTTCTTTAAAATTGATTGACAGGCCTTTGCAGTCTGCTTTAGAAATTTCTAACGCCTCCAGATTTCATGGTTTATATGTCAGGTTTGTCGAATCATTGTCACTTGTTGTAGGTTAGGGATAATGCCATTTTTGTTGGAATATATCGTTAAGGCGATATTGTTCCTTTTTTTCGATGTCCATTTTGTACTCACAAACGCGTTGTCTAAGCGACCTTTTTGTACATCCAACATATATGAGGTCCCTGTCGAATCTTTTATTCTTTAACAGGATTTTATATACTCCCAGTGTTCTTTCGATTTCAGCCCAATCTTTCTCGTTTCTCAACATGGTGAATCTATCCGGCTTATGTCTGTAGGCTATTTTTGCATTAGTGTAAGCTCCAATTTCTTTATATAGGGACTGCATAGGGCGCTCATATGTTATAGCTGTAAGGTAGGGAGATGTATGCTGTCATGGATCTTTTCCTGGGATCTCATTCAATTGGTCTTTGAGCTGGTTTCGTTGGTCATTGGCCATTCTACATATTAGGCCTTTATTGTAGCCGTGACATTCAGCAATTTCTGCTATTTTCCTTATTTCCTTCCATTGGTCTTGTTCTTTGCTACAGTGTGTGTAGGGTCTTCCGATAAGTGCTCTAAAAGCTGCCATTTTGTAGTTGTATGGGTCGTTTGAGTCAGCCAGGATGTATATCAGGATGGCATTTGGTTTTTGGTATATCTTTGTGTCATATCCACTACCATTGAATGCTATATTAAAGTACAAAAAATGAGCCTCCTTATTGCTTATTTGTTATAATTCAATTGTAAGGCCACATGGGTTGCAATTCATGCATCTTATAAATTCTTTGATCAGATGCATCATTTGGAAGACAAAGCCAATCATCAAAATATGTTGTTCTAAAGTTATTTAAAATAAGAAGTCTATAAAATACAATGTGTCAAAACTGAAGATGGCTAAAAAATAGCCAAAACTGTTTTTTCAATAAGATTACAAACTTGTCTCTTAAAAAGTGGTTGTTGAAATTATTAATTTTCATATATATCAAATTTGATAAAATATTATAGAATCCTGACCTAAACATGTTAAGTATTTGTGTACAATCAACCTCCCTATAACACATGTTCCTATAATTCAGATTCCTATATCACAGAGAAAAAATTGTGACAGTATTCGTACAAACATGCTAAAAAAACTCCTATAATTCGGTAAAACATCATCACTGACTAGTGTCATGACAGGATTGGCCGAATCTAGACAATAGCGGATATTGCACAAACCATTGAGTTTAAAAAAGCAGCGGACCTACTAAAAACCATTTATTATTTAATGTCCATAAAAATTATATTTATATTAATGATGTCTCCAAAGTTCAGCGAATTTTTTGCAAAAAAATAATTTATCAGGAAGCATGCGAGCGCCATTTGATGACAATCTGCACAACAAAAACAAGCTTAAGCAACAGCGTAGTCGAACGGTGCATGCTTGGTAAGTAATCCTACAATTTTTGTTTATAGCATAATTTATATGGATTATTCCCAAAAAATTATACGTATTTTGGAAATGTCGAGTCAAATTAGTCTAGAATCGATTAATTTTATGGAAGAAACCTTTCAAACAGCTATAGTCCGTAAACTGCATATGTGCCAGGCTGTGATTGGCTGGACTCATAGAAAATGGATTCATAAAAACCAGAACGTATCTATCGTGTTCTAGGGGGTCGACTGTATATCATTATATGCATTTATTTATAACATTTTTAGTGTTTGCATATTGTGTTATATTTAAATATTTTAATTTACTTCACAATTAACTAGAAATATAATACAATCATGAAAAATATTATTAATGAAAACAAAATTATAATACCTGCATTAAAATCTAATTGAAAATCTTCAATGTTGCTGCCATCTACTAAACTATAAATAAGCTGTCTTCCTTCAGGATTGCTTGCAGAAATTGTAAAAATAGGCACTTTAGTAGATATATCTTCCTTTACACTTACATTATAAAAGTGTTTATTGAAAATAGGCATTGCACGATTAATAACTTTAACTGGTACAACAACATAATTACTAAGTGGAGGGTTACCTATTAAATATAAAAGAATATTAAATCGTCATTTCAGAAAATTAATTAATAATAAATTAATATAAATTGTTATCATTATCTTAATAAGAATCAAGTAAATTTAATTAAGATGAAAACAAATGTTATGTAATGGTTAGATAATGGAATGAAAATATGCCCAAAAATAGATATTAGCAAATGATTAATGACTGTCCAATATCAGACCAGATTTTTCATAAATTTTAAGGTGACACATAAAAATGTGATTTTTGAATTTTTCAAAATACCAGTTTCTTTGTATAATATTGTTAAGTAATAACTATGCCATTACTGCAAAAATGAAAAATACAAGATGATGTATATTAGAAAAATTTCTGGCACAAAATTCAAATAAAAATAACTTTTTAATTTTCAAAAAATAATTTCACTGATTTAGAATAGGATGACAATTTCAAAATTTTTTCAGAAATTTTATGTTATCCTATATTATACTGCAAAATATTGCTGACTTTGTTTGCCAAATACAATATAGTTAAAAAAAGAAAATCTGAAAACAATCAATAAGAATACCCTTGAATGACAAGTTAAAGTTAAAAAATTACAAAAACAATTTTCCTGAGTTATCTAATACAGTACATTATGATATAAATATTAAAAAATGTATTAGAATTTTTTATTGAACTAAATTTATTTTTTAATTTTTTGACACAAAATTTAAATTTGAAAATGATTAAAAAAAATAGTATTTTAAATTATTTAAATTAACTAAAGTAAAGAAGTAACTTCTGAAATTTTTAGGTACCCAAGTTTACATCATACTACTATATGTTAAAAAAGTAACTTTATTTTTTTAGTATAATGTGGTTAAAAAAGTCACTCTTAAAAGTCAATGAAAGAGAATTTTAATTGGCCATTTCAAAATTACAAAAAAATATATTTTATCTGAATTATCTGGCATGTTATCATATAAATATAATACTTAAGTAATATATTTTTACACTGATATACTCACATTACAATTAGGCAAAGGAAAACACTATCCTAAAAACAAAGGTAAAAATATTCATTCCTAGAACCATATTGACTAGACATTATCATGTAATTACAATATGTTCATACTTTTAACAATGTTGTCATTAAAATTAAGCCTGGACACATACATAAAAGCACTGACTTTCTTACAGACTGTTAAACACTTCTTGTATTCACACCTCTTTTTCTTTTCCAAGATTTTCTGCCATGACACTCTCCTTACTTTTATATACTCTCTCATGGAGATATAATATGCTTACAGAATAATTTATCTCAAGATCCTACATTCAGCCATCCTGCAAAGACATTTGCCCGGAATGTTTTATTCAAGTGAATTCAATGAAGAATCCTTGTCAAGATTCATATAATGCCTATCTGTTTAGTTGCTATCATAGTCCAGCCAATGCTTAATAGAATCTGCTGTGATGGACATTTGAGCTGAGCCCTCAAGCTCTCCTATACATACACACAGTAGTCATTACAAAGAGCCTGCAATATCTTAGAGGGTTCTGCTGAGTAAGTTTCAGGTCCAGTCAGCATTGCATTCACATTATGGCCACCAAACTGCCTTCATAATATCTCTTGGGTTCTTTCCATTTTCAATCCTATTGCTTTTCATTACATTGTTGTACAGTGCCTTCCAAATGGTATCACACACTGTTCCCTCAGAATGACTTATTCCTCCCCTTGTCAGAGTTGTGAGATTTCTGGATAAGGCCTAGATTAAAGGCAAAATGCATTTGGAAAATGTTTTAAAGATTTAAATAAATTTACTTATTGTGAATTTTTAAAAGTCTTAGTGTTTTTTCCTCAAAGTTGGTAATGATTGAGTGGTTTAACTTGAAAAAAGAATTTTTTTTTTTTACTATTTTTCTTCTATACCTTTTTCTAGACAAAGCAACCAACTCCATTGTAAATTTTTATAATACCAATACATTTAATTGGTATTAATACATGATAAAGTATATATCGTTCCCAAATTCCAAGAATATATTGAAACTAATAAATTCTTACTTTACTAGAAAAATTGTTTCAAATAATGAATCTATATTCATTATTTGAAACCAATCTTTAATCATTTGTACAATCTTATTTCATTAGTAGTAAATAGTTATAAATGTGTTTATTACCTCCATCCACAGCAGAAATAATTAGTTCATACTCTTTCTGTTGTCCATCTAAAGACGCATGCAAAAATATTTCTCCAGTATCACTATCCAACCGGAAGAGATTATAATCTCCTTGAAGCAATTCATAATGAACTTTACCATTTGCATTCAAATCCAAATCAATAGCTTTTACCTGAAAGTATAAAAATAAAAAGACTTTTTAATATATGATAAAATATAAACTAATTTATACATATAAATATTTCAAATGAAATATACTTATATTTCCCAAAATTTAAAATAAATAATTACTCTTTCAGATTCATGGTTTACAATCTTATTGTCTACCAATTAAGTTTTAATCAATCAAAACCAATAACATTTCATTCATATTCATAGTTATGTCAAGCATAATCGTCTTTCATATTAAAATCTGCAATTTTGTTTTCTCTTTGTCAATATAATATACAATGTTTTCAAATATTTTTTTAAAAATCCCAAATATCATTAGTAGGTTAGTTGAAAATTGCATAAATATTAGTGTCAAAAACTGATACAGTATATTAATCTAGATATGATTTGTCATATCTTAAAATTATTTTTGTATGCTATATTTACATTAGGTTATTTATATTTTATTTATTTTTGATTACTTTATATTTTATTTTATTCTATTTGATTATATATTATAATTTTTTAGGCTTTGTTTTTATAATCATAACCTTATCTATTCATACTTGGTATATATTATATACACAAGGAGAAAAACTCAACATATTAAGGAATATTTTATTTTTCCTGTAGCGCTTTCAACACTGCTATGAACATTGTCTTCAGGCACAAATATGAATCAAATGTCTTTTCCGAACAAATTTTAAATTACAAACAGGAATGGCATTAACCGAATAGAATATAAAAAACTTTTAGAACAAAAATTTTTTTAAACTTATTTTTAAAAATTGCATAACATTGATGCACATGAGCTTAAATATGCAAAGAAGATGGAAGGTGTAGGGATGGTGGAGAAACATGGTCAATTAGAATTATTTAATCTATACTAATATTATAAAGAGGTAATGTTTGTATGTATGTAAGTTTGTATGCAGCAGGTAATCTCCGAAACTACTCATCCGATTTCAAAAGTTCTTTCACCAATATTTAGAATGGAACTTCAGGGTGGACATAGGCTGTATATTATTCTGTTAAACATTCATATAAATTAAATTAAAAGATATAATCTAGGTTAAGGCTTTTATGTCCAACAGATGGCACTATGAGTATAACGCCCTAAGTTTGCTTTTCTGTGAGGCATTATGCTTTTCTGTGAAAATGAACTAAAGCAGATCATCTTCTATCTATTTATATAAATAAAAATGTAATGTTCATTTGTTCCTACCAATTCCTTTGAAATTTTGACAACGCTGCATTTGAATACGCACGTGTTTTTATATAATATACATGTCGAAATTCATCCCCACTGAAGGGAGATGGTTAGGTTTAAGGCTTACGGTAAAGAACTCTGCTTCTATTTATACTATTTTAGATGCAGGTTTTTGCGTTTTTGATTGCGTTTTAATAGGGTA